CAGGAGGTGCTCAGTTTGTGGGCTTGTGAATTACTGCTCCAGGGCGTGTCAGGCTCTTCACTGGAAGTATGAGCATAAGAATGAGTGTAGGCCCATGGACCGGTGGCTTGAGGATCCAGCCCACGTTGATGCTCAGCCAGGCGGCGATGCGGGCGGCGATGTAAATTAGGAGAAAGAGAGGTCTGTTCTTGTAATTTTCCCTTTTTTTTTAAGATGTATTTTTGATTAATTTAATTAGGTTTTTCTTCTTTTATTTTTTTTCGGGTTCGGTTCTCCTGGGTCATGTACAGTTTCCGTCGTGTTACTTTTTGGTTGAAATTTATATCAATGAGTTTTTTTGAGATGGAATTTGGGGGAAAAAATGTAAATTTGAGGATTTGGTGGGCGGAGACGATGAGATACGTAGCTGCGGTGGTCAGGATCTTTTTGCTCGTCTTTGTGATGGAAGGTGGGGAGAGTGTATGTTATTTTATTGTAGAAAGAGGAGACAGTGGGCATCTGAGCACACTTTTGTATTTATTAGATGCTGCGGGAAAATTATCACGAGCCCCTAGTACCGTGCTCTATTTGTGAAAATGCCCTCATACTAGCCTTATTTTTCCCAAGGACTAGAGTTTAGGGAATTACAGCTTTCGGGACTGTTTGGTGAAAACTATAGTTAACAAAAATTTGCCTGCTTTTAAATTGGAGTTTTTTGGTTTAATTTTCTTTTTTAAAAAAATGCACTGTACGTTATAATTGGAGGCGGTTGTTTAAACCTATTTTGATGCGTAAACAAGCTACAACTATGACTTGCATCAAATTTGTGCATTTTTCGTCCGTTACTATCGGGGTTCTTTTCGAAACTATAGTTACAGCTGCATTAATTAATCGCAGTGAAATAAAAATGGAACCAAACAATTAAGTAAAAAAAAGGGAGGAAAAGAGGAACCAAACAACACGTTAACAGGGGGTTTGAATAATTATTATTACTTTAGACTGAGAAGAGGAAGCGTGCGAGAGTCTCGTGTGAGCAGGGTTAGCTTTCTTTTAACCTTTCGTTTCTTTTGATGGAGGCTCTCCTTTTATCGGACGCGTGTGGACCTAGGTGAAAAATTTACCTTTGCGTTGGGGCTAAGCTTACTTGACCAGCTCCACGTGCGATTATCATACAAATTATGCAACTTTGTTGTTTAGTTAATAGTCCGGGTTCTATTTGTAAAAGGAGATAGCAGAAGAATCCAATGGTCGTGCTTGTGTGGAACAGCTCATAGTGGATCAGATCCCATTCCTATTATCACAAATTAGTAGTGTACAAGGAATCCAACAAAAATACGTCCTCTCTTCTATTCTTTTATACAAATGGGAGAAACAAAGAGTCACTGTTCATGCTACGGTAAATACTACAGTAGATTTACTGTAGCAGTGCACTGTAGCAGCTGAGAAATTTAAGAGGCGCTGCATCAGATCGGGTACTGTAGCAGCTCGGGAATGGCACGCGAGTTACTGTAGCACACCGGAAAATTCAAACCGGGAGAGTTTAAAAACGGCGGGAACACTGTAGCAAAAAAAAAAAAAAAAAAACGCCGTGCTGCGCACGGGCTGCACACTAGTTATCTTTAGATTGTAAATTAATTAATCCATTATCATATCATCATATAAAATTAACTGCAGATAAATGCTTCTGTTCAATTAAGTTTTGACAGAAATTAAGTAAGCAGTTTCCAATTAAATAACTAAGAATACTCAACATTAATTAAATTTTTTTTCCTTTCTCTTTTTTTTTATTTTTTATTTTTTTGCCAACTGAAGTTTTCATTGACCATCAGTGAAATTCTGGTGAAATCTTAATTTGAAGACTCCCCCTCATCTAATAACAAAACAAGAGCAACACTTTCAATTACAAACTATGCCGCAGACTAACATAAGAACATCTCCAACAGCTTCCCTATCCTCTTAAAGTACTCAATTTTGGGAAATAAAGAGCTATATTTCATTCTGCAAAAATTCTTCCTTCTCCAAATTCTTGAAAGTAACATTATCATAAATATCTCACATTCTTCAAAGAAGAAGAAAAATATATCTAATACTTTATTGAGTTTTATATTGTTATAATAAAATATCAAACATTTATTTTCTTAATTACTATTGAGTATGTAAGATGTTTTATAGTTGTAATAAATGCCTAAATCCCTAAAATGGGGAAGTTGTTGGCTTTGAAGCAAAAAATTTTTAGAGAATTTAGCATTATGCTTCCCCATTTTAGAGAAATTATGATAAAGCTGTTGGAGATGCTCTAACAAAACTGGATCCTACAATCGAAGAACCCACTCTTTTCACATGGAGAGGTAGCCGTATATGAAGAACTCTTGCAATGATCTCAGTTTTAATCCTCATTACAATAAAATATTTGGACTACAAGCAGCATGCTGAAATTTTCTTGCATTCCTCTCTCTCTCTCTCTCTCTCTCTCTCTCTTCTCTCTCTCTCTCTCTCTCTCTCTCTAAACGTAGTAGATAGCAGCAGCAGCAGTAAAAGATGCAATAAACACTCTATGCTCACAATTCTTCCTCTCAGATGGCAAAACCAATTCAACTCATCAGTCCACTGCAAGGGATCGATCCCTGTCAACCTCAAACCACACCAATAATTTCTTCCAAACAAGACAGTGAAAATTAATAAAGATGAATAATACTCTCATGGGCCTGCCAACATAACACACAAGATCTATGTTGGACAATACCCAAATTAATGCACCCATCCATCCTGGGTAAGGATCCTACCATTAGAAACCAACCATAGTACGAAGCACAAAGATCAATATTTTAATTCCAATGATATATTAATTTCACATTACCACCCTCAGTTACTCAATTTTTGGAACACCATCCCTATCTGCCATTTCATAAACTTTGTTGAACTTTGGGGTAGCCAAGTTAATTTTTTTTGAACTTTGAAGTTTTTTTTTTGGAATTTCTTTTTGTGGTAGCAAAGTGAAAAATGAAGTAGACCTTGAGGTATTTTTGGGCACAGAAAATTTTATTTGATTAAAGTTAAAATGGAAATAATTTGGGGTATTTAACTTTAATACCCAACGATAAACGCAATTAAATATATGTAGGGGTAAAATAATCAAATTATAATTTTTTGTTTTTTGGATAGAAAATTGGATGTAAAAAGTTCATGGGTGGTTCCGTGTTAAACGAATTGTAGATAAGAGTGGTTTTTTTTTTAAATTGAGTAAATAAGGATAGTACGTAATGCGAAATAGGGCCTAAAGTAGGGGTCGTTCCCTTAAAAAACCCTTACTAATTTTGCGATAAATTTGATTCATTCCCTTTGATATCAATCTCTCTCTCTCTCTCTCTCTCTCTTTATTTTTTTTATTTTTTTGGCTTGAAATTGATAAGTATAAATAATTAAAACTAGTCCTCTCTCTACTGATTCTAAAACACCTAACCAAATTCAGAGTTGCAAATTTTACTCAAGAAATATCAATGCTGGAAGGGGTCTTCTGCAATTTGTCTTTTAAACTTTTTAAAATATATATTTTTACATTATCGTTTTGCATTTAATGGATGTATTTTTGAGATGCCACGATCCTGCCACCAAGGCCACCTAAGCAAGCAAATACGTTCAGCATCGCTCGCGTCACTTGGTGAGGTTACCGTCGGAGTTTGGCTCGATTGATGGAGATTTGGATTCTGAGGTCACCTACCTTCAAAGGACTCTGACTAGTTCTGGTGCCAGTAAGCACTGTTTTGAGGGTTAGTTGCTGTCTTCTTGTGTGGGGAGTTTCGGTGCAGTCGGTGAGCTTGAAACATGCCCACTTGTTTCTCCCTCTTTCAACAAAATTTGAGGTTTTTTTTAGTACGTTTATACATTTTTTATTATTTGGTAACTTTGCTCCTTCGACTACTTTATTAGCGCGTATGTTTTCTAATATTAACCGTTTAAATCACCTCTTTGTTGGAGATTATGGTTAAATTTGGAATAAAACAGTGAAAGTTGATGAACTGTAATTTTAAACTTTTTAAGTTAACTGTTGTGCGTCTGTGAAACGCTATGCTTAAAATAATATTTGGCCTACTCCGGTGTAAGGATCCCAATGCCAAACTGCTTCCAGGAACAGCAGTACAATACAATTGTGTGCACCAACCAAGTATTGTCAAGATCTATTCGATCTATAAGACCTTTCGGTCAAGGCAAAGATCCCCTCGATCTCTTAAACCTTTCGGTTTTGGCAAAAATCCTTCGGGCACAGTCTCTGCAGCAACAGCAGCACAACAGTATCTTCGGACACAGACTTTGCACCAGTAACAACACAACAACTCAATGTATTTTCGTGTGTATACAAGAGCTCTCCAAGAGCTACCCCAAAAGACACTATTTATAGGCCTCTAAGGCTAGCTCAAGAGTCACCTACAATCAATGTGACTGTTACAAATCATTATGATTGTAACAACAATTGATTTAAATGTTGTTGTAACTGCTGCATGCAGTAACGGCTGAACGCGAAGGTCGCATTGCACATTGCAGCAAATCAGACGAACCTCGTCGATCGAGCGAACCTCGTCTAACAAACGAGTTTCGCAAATCAGATAAGCCTTGTCACTAAGACGAACTTCGTCGTACGGGCGAACCTCATCGGACGGGTCAATTAAACGAGTCTCGCAAATCAGACGAACATCATTAGTAAGACGAACCTCGTCGGCGAACCTCGTCAAACAAATAAGTTTCGCAAATCAGATGAACCTCGTCGAACGGGCGAACCTCGTCAAATGGGCAAACCTCGTCAAACAGGTCAATCAAACGAGTCTCGTAAATCAGACGAATCTCGTCAGTAAAACGAACCTCGTCGAACAGGCTAACATTGTCAACCAAACAAGTCTCGTCAAATTGACGAACCTCGTCAAATAAAGGAGCGTCGTCAAATCTCGAGAACGCTAGGGTTGCACCATCATGCGAATACAAAGCTCGTCTGCATGCTGCGAAGCAGCCTGCGAGGCAACTTTCGTAGTGGTCATAGTGGCAGCCAACGTGGTTCCACCTAAACCCGATGCCTCCGTTCGAAGTGCGCCTTACAAAGCGTCACTTAGCGCCTCAGCTCGATTAACCCCGATTCCTAGCCCATTGGTCTACAATCCACGAGCCCACGGGTCACGACCCACTAGAACTTATGAGGAATTAATTAAAACAAAACAATTCTTGGCTTGCCAACGATAAGCCTCAAACAGAGGACCTTTTGAAATACCAAAACTTTTACTTTCCACTAGGCTACTAAGAATTTATTAAAAATACTAGTAGTTAATATATATATATATATATATATAGTTTGAAAGCTCATTTTGGAAAGCGGTTTCGACCAAAATATCCAACAACCCCCCACAAGTTTTTAAACTAGTGTCGTGTAATGGTGTCGTTGTTTCAATCATTGTGCATAAGGTAGATGTCGCAAGGACTTGAATCCCCCTTATACCAATTGAATAAAAGATAGATGCATGGTGTCGTAGAGACTTGAACCAGCACATGTCTAAAAATCCAGCGATCACACAAGATCAAACTCATATGTGGTAGTTTTCATTTTGAACCACACTTGTCTTTACCTTTGCCTTCGCCTTGCACATTTATGGCCCTGTGCATGTCCTGGTTTATGCTAGGGCTCTAGGTATCTTTCCACTAGACATCATAGGAGACGACCAAATCTTCACCCACGCATAGGTGAGTTCTTTAGGCATGTTTCCTACCAAACATCTCGCATCCGCGATGCTTTGAACTCATTAAGGCTTAAGAGCCATCCTCTCTCATGATAAGATTCTATGTGAATCCTTTTGGCGTGTTTCCTATCTAACACTCCGCATCTGAAATGCTTTGGACTCATTAAGACTTAACAACTAACCCCCTTTACATGATAGGATCATCGGTGAGTCCTTTAGGTATGTTACCTATCTAACAGCTCGCATCCGAAATGTTTTTGAACTCATTAAGGCTTAACAAACCATCCTCTTTACCATGATAGGATTTCAGTTACAAATCTTACTCGACTTTTGAACCAATCATCTTATCATTAGTAGTGTAAGCTTTGAACTAGTGACTTGATGTAAATGATAAGTATTTGTAAGACTCGCCAAACTTTTATAAATCTTACTCGACTTTTGAACCAATCATCTTATCATTAGTAGCGTAAGCTTTGAACTAATAATTTGATGTAAATGGTAAGTATTTGTAAGTCTCACAAAACTTTGAGACCCATTTCAGCAGACGTCCTTTCGACTATGTCCTTTTTTCAGAACTTTAGTCAAAGGATCAGCCACATTCTCTGAAGACCGGACGTCTATCATAGAGATGACTCCTTGATAAACGAGTTCTCTCAAATAGTTATACTTTAGACGAATAATCTGTTTCTTTCCATTGAACATCGAGTTTGCTACCACAGCACTCGCCGTCTGATTATTACAATAGATAGTAATTACGCATTGTAAATCTATCAATGGAAGGTCTCTTAGAAAATAACTGAGCCACTCAGCTTCATCTCTTACAGCATAGAGTGCGAAGAACTCAGATTTATCCATGATTGTGCAATCATAATCTGCTTCTTAGACTTCCACGAGGCGACAACTCCACCCATGGTAAAAACAAAACCTCCAGTAGATCTGCACTCATCTGGTTCTGAGCACTAGTTCGCATCTGAATAACCTTCGATTATAGCCGGATATCCAGTGTAGAATAAGCTCAGACCTATAGTTCCTTTCAAGTATCTCATCAATCTCTGGACAACATCCCAATGAAGCTTTCCAGGATTACTTGTGGACCTATTAAGTATTCCTACAGTGAATGTTATGTCTGGTCTCGTGCAGATCATCGTGTACATAACTCCCAATGATCTTTGAGTACCTTAGCTGCTCTACTGGTTTTCTAGTGTTCGGTCGAAACTTCTTGTTATAATCATACTGCACTGATAGTTCTGGCAGGTCGTAGTAGTCATACTTTCTTAGCATGTTCTCGACATAATGAGATTGAGACAATCCAATACCCTCTTCAGAGTATATGATTTTGATTTCGAGAATCATGTCCGCGGTTCTAAGGTCCTTTATGCTGAACTGTGCTGAGAGAAATTTCTTGGTAGATATTACTATTTCCAAATCACTCCTAATGATGAGCATATCATCCACATAGAGGCAGATAACCATCACTTTTCCTTCAGCGACCTTGATGTATAGATATTTGTCAGACTCACTAACTTGATACCTATTATTACGAACAACCCCATCGAACTTCTTATGCCAGAGTTTTGATGCATGCTTAAGTTCATATAGAGACTTAATAGGTTTACTAACTTTACCAACTGGAGCATCAAGTCCTTCTGGTTTTTCCATTTAGATCTCTTCTGTAAGATCTCCATTGAGAAATGCAGTCTTTACATCCATCTGATGTATAACAAACCTTTTAATTACCTCCCATGAAATAAGCACTCTGATAGTAGTGATTCTGTAAACTGGTGTATAGATATCAAAAAAATCTATTTCTTCTTTCTGAGAGAATCATTTTGCCACCAGTTTTGCTTTGTATTTCTCAATAGTACTATCAGGACGAAGCTTCTTCTTGAAGATCCACTTGCAACTGATAGGCCTTGCACCTTTATATACATCCACCAGCTCCCAAGTATGATTTTGGATCAATAAATCCATCTCATCATCTATAACTTCTTTCTATAGAAGAACGTCTGTTGACTGCATTACTTCTTGGAAAGTCTGTGCATCTTTTTCTACATTATAGGTGATAAAATCATCTCTAAAATCTTTTTGTCTCCTGACATGCTTGAAAGGTGGTTCGGTAACTCCTTCATCATTGATACTTTTAGTTTCTCGCGAAATTAGCTCCTCTGGTGTATCTGGCGTACTAGCATTCTCTGCTATATCTTTGAGCAATAAATCTTTATCTTTAATAAACTTATCCTCAAAGAATTCTGTATCCCGAACTTTAATGATGGAGTTGGTTCCAAGGTCAAGGAACCTACAAGCATCGCTATCTTCAGCAAAGCCAAGAAACACATATTTGTTTGCCTTTGGTCCGATCTTAGGCCTTCTGATATCTGGAACTAGAACATATACGAGACACCCCCACACTTTGAGACTATCCAAAGGATCTAGATATCCCAACCATAACTGATGAGGAGTACTATCAATTTAAAAATAGGGTACTCTGTTCAGAATCCAGTTTGTCATTAGCAAAGCCTCTCCCTAATAGCAGGTAGGTAAACTAGATGTGATTATCATGGAATTCACTATCTCGGTTAATGTGCGATTCTTTCTTTCTGCAATCCTATTAGATTACGGAGCATACAGAGCCGTAGTTTCAGCAATAATTCCATGCTTCTTGAAGTATGCTTCTGACTTCTTAGATCGGTAATCTCCTCCTCTATCGCTCCTGAGTCCTTTTACTTGAAGTCCAAGTTGCTTCTCCACATGAGTCCAAAACTCGATAAACTTGCTGAAGGCTTCATCTTTAAATTTCAGCAGGTAGACGTGGCAGAAGCAAGAATGATCATCAATGAAGGTGATGAAGTACTTCATGCCACCTCGAGTGACGAAGCTCTTAAAATCATAAGTATCTGAGTGAATCAGATCCAATTGGTTGGTGCTCATAGTGACATATGGAAAGGGATTCCTTATCAGCTTCACTTACGCGCAGACTTCACACTTCTCAGGTTTGTTACCCCCATATTTTGGAAGTAATCCTAATTTTTCCATGCTAGATAGCTTTCTATAATTTACATGTCTAAGCCTGCGTCAGACAGCAGGCTTCCAGAGACTAAGTTTTTACCAATTGAGGGAACATGTTTCACATCCTTCAATGTGAGAGTCTTTCCTGAAGAGAGAGTTAGTATCACAGTCCCAGTTCTAAGAACAGGAACCACAGAACGATCAACCATTGATACGTTCTCTTTGGCAGCAACATAAGAAGAGAATAAATTTTCGTTGGAGCAGACATGACAGGTAGCACATGTATCTAACCATCAACCAGAGATATTGTTGGGAGTTGTCACTTGGAAGAGCATAGCCGCATAATTATCAATTTGATTAACATTGTGTGTTGTTCCCTTCTTTGGTGATTTGCAGTCCTTGGCAAAATGTCCTTGCTTCCCACAGTTAAAGCATTTTCCGCTCTTCTTGAAATCTTTCTTTTGAACATTTAGATTCTTCGGGTGGTTCTTATTTTTGTTAAATGACTTCTTCTTCTTCTTGGAAGAAGAACTAGTATCATTCTCAGAGTTAGCATCCACCATGTTAGCAAATGCCTTTTAGTAAGGAGCTCTTTCGTACGAGTCTGAATCTTGTCCTCGCTCCGAATAAACCTCTTCAAATTAGACAGAGTCCCATGTCTTTTCCTTCTTCGAATGTCCGTGGAGAATGACATTCAAGATGGAGGAAGCTTGTTGACAATTGCACTAGAAATGAAGGTTTGACAAAGATTGATCTTTTCATCCTTCAGCTTCATAACAAGTTTTTCAAGGTCTTTGACTTAAGGAAAAAACTCAGTGTCATCTTCAAATTTGAAGTCCAGAAACTTGTTAATAAGGTGGGACTTGGATAGTTTCTCTTTATCCTTGTATTGGTCCTCCAGAGCATCCCAAATTTCCTTTCCAGAGGGCTTGTTAGTGTAAGCATCTGCCAGATGATCGGTCAGACAGTTAAAGAGATAACTCCTGCAGAAATGATCATCTTTAGCCCAAGAGGCTTCAGACTCGAAATCTTCTTCAAAGTCGGGTTTCTCCTTAGAAACCACATAATAAATTTTCAGGAGTTCCATCCGAAAGATCACTTTTCGTCACCATGCATTAAAGTTGGATCCGTCAAAGTTCTCTAACTTGTGACAGTCCACTCCAAGAGTCCTTGCAGGATCCATGATAGATCAGAAATATTACTTTAAGATTGTTAAAGATTATGGTTAAATCTGGAATAAAACAGTGAAAGTTGAAGTACTGTAATTTTAAACTTTTTAAGTTAGCCGTTGTGCATTTATGAAATGCTGTGCTTAAAGCAATATTTGGCCTACTCCGGTGTAAGGATCCCAAGACCAAACTACTTCCAAGAACAGCAGTACAATATAATTATGTGCACCAATCAAGTATTGTCAAGATCCCCTTGATCTATAAGACCTTTCGGTCAAGGCAAAGATCACCTCGATCTCTTAAACCTTTCGGTTTTGGTAAAAATTCTTCGGGCACAAGCTCTGCAGCAGCAGCAGCAGCATAACAATTCCTTCAGGCAAACGCTTTGCACCAGCAACAACACAACAGGTCAATGTATTTTCGTATGTATACAAGAGATGCCCCAAGAGGCACTATTTATAGGTCTCTAAGGCTAGCTCTAGAGTCACCTACAATCAATGTGATTGTTACAAATTATTATGATTGTAACAACAATTGATTTAATGCTATTGTAACTGCTGCATGTAGTAATGCCTGAACGTGAAGGTCGCGTTGCATCTTGCAGCAAATCAGACGAACCTCGTCGATCGGGCGAACCTCGTCAAACAAACGAGTTTCGCAAATCAGACGAACCTCGTTAGTAAGACGAACTTTATTAAACATGTGAACCTCATCGAACGGGTCAATCAAATGAGTCTCGCAAATCAGACGAACCTCGTCAAAGAAACAAGTTTCGCAAATCAGATGAACCTCATCAGTAAGACGAACCTCATTGAACGGGTGAACCTCATCAAACGGGTCAATCAAACGAGTCTTGCAAATCAAACGAACCTCGTCAGTAAGATGAACCTCGTCGAACGGACGAACCTTGTCAACCAAATGAGTTTCATCAAATTGATGAACCTCATCAAATAGAGGAGCGTCGTCTGATCTCGAGAACGCTAGGGTCGCACCATCGTGCAAATACGAAGTTCGTCTGCATGCTGCGAAGCAGCCTTCATGGCGGCCATAGTGGCAGCCAACATGGTGCCAAATGGCGCCACCTAGCCCTGATGCCTCCTGATGCGGCATAATTATGTACCAAAATTGCAAGTGCACAATTTATTAAGTTATAGTATAAAAAATATCGATCCCACGAGGAAGGTGATTTTAAGAGATTATTAGAAATGGTTCTTATGTTTTGTGCATGACAATTAGGAATAAAGAATAAGTGTGATTGTGATGAGTGGTTGTTTTGATTTATGTGCAAGAGATAATAAATTGATAATAATCCTAGAATTCATAAGCATAACCTATCAAACCATTTAAGATAAGCATAGATTATCAAATTCTTCTTCTACCGATTAGTTCTCTAGTTGATTATCCTAACATGAACATTTTAAGTACAAGAGAATAATTCATACAATATAAAAGAAATTAGACTAGTTTCATACAATTCTAAGATTCCTACAAGAATTAAATTCACATCTTAAGAAATAAAAACAAGAAAAAGAAGACTAATTACAAAATTAAAAAGAAAAGAAAAATCTAAACTATGAACAAGAAATAAATCTAATTACAAAGAAAATAAAAATCTAAACTACAAAAATAAATTGCAGAAATTAAATGCAAGAAAAATAAATCTACTCTACAAATTAAAGTGCAAAAAAAAAAATAAAAAAGACAAGAAAGTAAATCTACACTACAAGCATGAATTTAAATCTAACTAATAAGCAATAATAAAGAAATTACTAAAAAGAAATAAAAGAGAAAAGAAATGCAAACCTTCAAATTGCTCTTCATCTCCATCCTCATCATTCCACAAAGAGGAGAAAGAACAAATTTAAAGAGGAAAAAATTATTTTTATTAATTACAACTAAAGTTACAATTTTTGGAAGGCCTTCTCAATTAAGAGTAGCCCTCCTCTCCAAAAGGAATTTACAAAATTTTCACACACCCTAACCCCTCACTCTCTACCCTTATTTATAGTAAACATCAGTGAATGAGAGCCATTGGATCGAAATCTTATCCAAAAACATCAATTTTCAGCCATTAATTCGTAACAAACTGCTCAGTGTATCGATACCAGCATCGATAGGGGTATCGATGCTGGCATCGATACAGGCATCGATGCGGGCATCGATGTCCGCATCGATGCAGGCATCGATGCCTGCCCCTCTTCTCTTGCTGTCCGCAAAATCCATTGTTGTTTGCTTTTGGGCTTTGGACTTTGGGCTTTGCTTGACTTTTGAGCTTTGATATTTTTCTTCTTTTGGGCTTTTGGATAATTTGAAAATTGATTTTCCAATGGGTTTCTTTGCTTCATTTCTTCATTTAATCCACGGGTTTTAGTTGAGAGATGGGAGTTTGAGATTTATTTTTCATTAACCTGCAATTAAACATAAAAAACAGTTATTAGTGGTATATTTATTCATATAAAATAGATAATAAGGGTATAAAATTATAATAAAATCTGATTATCAAATACCCCCACACCTAAACTTTTGCTAGTCCTCTAGCAAAGAAAATAAAAAGAAAATCCTAACTCACTTTCGCAGGAATCGCGGTTGTATTTAGCGCATACAACAAGCCTTTAAACCCCTAGGTTACCCTAGTGGACGAGTTGTAGTCTCGTGAGGGTTTGCAGTGAATATACCCACAAAATTCGGTCAACTTGCCAAGTTAAATAAGTCAGTAAATAACAGATTTTCCTTGATATATTTAAACATTCTAATTGAAGCTAGTTAATAATCAAGAAAACGTTTTTATATATAACTCCAATGTAAATCCCCTAGAAATTCTTTTTCATTATAGCAATACAAAACCAAGTCAAATCTTAGAAATTTAATTAAAAAGTTTTGAAAAGAACATGCCAACTCTTTGTTTTAAATAACTTTCAAGTCTCTTGATCAAAAATTGTTTTTCAAGACCATATATACAAAACAACAATATATATAAAAACAATGGTTAGTGTTATATATTTTTTTTTCACTCTCTAATTCTTGGTGATTGTTTCTATTTTAACGGGCTTTCTAAGTGACCATTTAACGAGTTTTGGGCCAATGAATCCCAACCCAATTGGGCTTAGGTCATTAAGTATAGAGATACTCCTTGGGCTTAATTGCTCAGTCAACTTAGGCTTTATAAGATAGAATCACCTTGAATTTAAGAGTTTTTATTTATTTATTTTTTTTGGGTGGTGCCCATTTTTCGCACTCTTCTTTTATAAGGTTAGTTTTTTTTTAATATATATATGTGTAAGTATATATAGTCTTTAAAAAAAATTGTGTAAATCAAGATAACTTGAAAAAAATATTTTCAACTCTAAGTTAAGCATGCAAAAATTTCATTATTTTTAATTAAAAATCTAAGGTAAGACTTAAGTAAAGTATACTAGTTAAAAAATCATTTCTTAAGAATTTTATTTGGAGTTAACATAAAAGGTGAACTTGAATATGTCACTAACTATGAATTAGAAAATTTAAAATCTACCAATTTGATCAATTATTACTTAACTCTATTAATTTGGCAAGTGACAATATTTTTATAATTTTTTTTAACAAAAAGAAGAGAGAGAAAAAAAAATACTAAAACAAAATACTAACTAGCAAAACAAAAGCTTAACTAGCTTACACCCCCATACCCAGACTTTGCAATGTCCTCAATGCACATAATATCCAAAATATCACAGTTTAATAAGTACATGCCAAAAAAAATCAAAGACTGGGTAAAGTAGAAAGAACATCCCTCACTGCTCATCTCCTGATATATCGTCATCCACATCATCAGCGGTAGCTGCTGAACTCGGTCCCGCCTCATCCTCTCCTGGGAAATCATCTGGCTGAAATGGTGTGATATAACTATGAAGCTCAGGTGGAGGTCCATCTGTATCTCCATGTTCTCTCTGCCATCCTCTCGCCAAATATGCCAGGGTATCGGTAGAGTAGCTGATCTGACCATGCATCTCGTGTATATGCCGCTGCATCCTGTGTATCTGTATCTGCATTCTGTCCATGCGACTCCGCATCGTATCCATCTCCTCTCGAGTGGGGTCATGTGTAGCTGGCTGGTGCTGAGGAGGCTCTCTACCTGAAGGACCGGACTGATCTCGCCCTGAAATGCTCCTCCTCACAGTCTGATCATTTAGTAACCCCTTCCCTGCTTCTAACCTATCCTCTGCGAATACTGGAACATGAAATCTATGGCAGAGTCTAGTGATGAAATAGGGGTAAATGAGCTGAGTACGTGATGCAGACTGTGTCCTGACCCAATCTAACACATTCTCCACTGATGAGCGCATCCATATAAATATAATCCTCGCTATATCAAATCGCTGACCAGTGGCTATCCAAAAGAGAAGGAGAATATCGTGTGGGGTAATGACGGAGTATGCAGTGGTGGGTTTCAAATCAAAGTTCAGGAAAAGATTAAGTAATCTATATTCTGGTTTGAGATTTCCTGAACCGAAACTAGATGTAAAGACCCTCCCACACAAGGTTGCAGACATGTTGTTGTATTCTGGTGTACCAGGCTGTAAAGTGGAGGCTAAATGGAAGTAATCTGGTACATCAGTGGGTGGCTCTGCAAGGTCAAGGGTAGCACGGATAGTGGAAAGATCGAAAATAACCCTAACACCCCTCACGATAGAAAAAGCTGAATATTCTCTATCTGGATCAATCTCCCATCCAGAATAGAACTCATGCACTAATGAAATGTTGGCTTTTTCTAAGGGTTTAGTCATCATGCTCCTAAGACCTACTGCAGATAACATGGTGACTGTGGAATGATATGTATGCAGTGCACTCATCTGAAATCCCCTCTCAAAATGAATGTTAAGACCCACAATTCTAGCTAAAATAGTAGGTCTATCTATGTCGGTATCAGATGGATCAGATGATGATGAACTTGCTCGAGATTTCTTTCTGGGAGGCATCTACAGAAAAAGAAAAGAAAAGAAAAAATTAAAAATAAAATTTTATTATTATTTAGCTACAAATTGTTCAACATGAGTTAATTTCAAGTTATCAGAATTTCTTTTGACAATAAATTCCCTCAAAATTATTCTTTGAGAACAAAAAAATGTTAATTTTTTTTTTTGATAACTTGATCGGTGAAACATACATGTTGAAATGACAATTATAAGCTAAACCGTGCACTTGTTGAATAAAATATCCGGTACAAATTTCCGAATGTGAGAAGTATCCAATTAAACTTTTATCTGACCAATTACTCACATTTCATTGAACTTTGAATATTTGAATTTTCGAAATTTGCACAAAACACCCCAAATTCAAGTTTCATATATTGCATAAAGCACCCCCAAATTCAAATTTGTAAATCAATCGTTCTGCACCCAAGTTGGAGGTCTGAAAGTTTTTGGTTTGGCACAAAACATCCCACAGCCCAATTTCGAATTTTTTCATGAAACCCCCAAGAAGTTTGGATTTGCATAAAACACCCCCCTTTTTTTCGATTTTACACAATTTTTTTTTCCAGATATTTGTACAAGATCTCTTCAATTGATTTCCAAGTTCAAATTTTTGTGTTTTTGCACAAAACCCTAAGAATTTTCGGATTTTGCATAAAACACCCCTTTTTTTTTTGAAATTTTTGATTTTGCACAAAACACCCCTAAAAAAATTTTCTTTCTTTTTTTTTTAAGATTTTTGAACAAGATATCCTAAGTTCAAACCCCCAAGAAATTTTCAGATTTGCAAACACCCCCCTAATTTTTTGGATTTTATTTAACCCCTCCAATTTTAGGATTTTTAACAAAAATCCCCAATGTAGATCTCAAATTTGTTAAATTTATCATAAAACTCACAAAATATGATAATCATTCATAACTACCCAAGATCCAATGACCAATTTATTCAAGAATTCATAAAAAAATACAAGATCAAGTTAGAAAAATAATACCTTGATAGATGAGTGGAGGTGGAAGAAGAAAAGATCTGAGAACTTGAAGAAGAAGCCCTCCAATTCCAAAATGCCCTTGGGAATTTTTTTTTTTCGGGTTTGTTTTTGGGGAAATTTTCGGGTTTGGTTTTTTTTTTTTTGGGGAGAGATGGAAAGAGAAAACAATGGGGAAGAAGAAAGGGGGGTGCGGTTTTTGAGGCAGCAGGTTGGCGGTATCGATGCCAGCATCGATGCGGGCATCGATGCCTAAAACAATAGCTTTTGGACAAGCCGGCCCAACATGGGTTTTTTCTTTTTTCGTTTCTGGGCCTCAGATCTTGGGCCAACACTTATTTCTTTTATTTATTTATTTTTTTTTTCTTTTTGGGCCTATGTTACTTATTAAAATTTTTTTGTTGTTTTTGTTTTTGTTTTTTTTAAGTGAAAAACAAAAAGGTGAGAAAATATGTATATATATATATATATATATATTCTTTTCTTTTTTTTTGTATATATCTATATATGTATTATTATTATTTTAGAAACTATCCGAAATATTTCTTCTTTTTTTTTATATGTGAAAAACAAAATAAGGAAATATGCATATATATATATATATATATATATATATATATTGAAAAGGAAAAAAATTTGACAAAAATGCAAAAAAAAAAGTAAAACAAAGAGAAAAAATAACTAAATCCCACCCCCACACCTAAATTTTGCATTGTCCTCAATGCAAACTCTATGATGCATAAAGCCCAAATTTGTATACACCAAAATAATTTTTTTTTTAAAGGAAAGAAAGAAAATTAGTTTTTTTTAAGGAAAATTAGTTTTTTTTTAATTTTTTTTTTAAAGAAAATTAGTTTTTTTTTAAGGAAAGAAAGAAAGAAAATTAGTTTTTTTTTAAGGAAAATTAGTTTTTTTTTTAAGGAAAGAAAGAAATTTAGTTTTTTTTTTATAAAGGAAAGAAGAAAGAAAATTAGTTTTTTTTTAATATGAGAAGATAAAGAAAAAGAAAAATCCTAACTAAAACAAATCAAGGCAATCACTTTTCAATCAACTCTAACTCTAGGGTTTAGCCTAACTCCACTAGACCAGCTCCTAACCAAAAATTCCTACAGTGAAAAGATCAAAGTTTTACCCAGGTAGTTAGCCAGGTAAGGATAGTACTAGAGGGTGATCAAAGATCAATTAAGTACCTCTTTCCTTGCGGAGCGCTTTACGCAACCCCTAAACCTTGCCTTAGACACCAACTATTCTGAGAAAACTTAAACCGTTCACTTAAGGATTTCTTGTTCCTTATTGAGCTCGAATCCTTAGGGGCCAACGTCTAATGAGTTTTAGAAGGCTTGGATTTGTGAAGTGAGGAATTAGTGATTTGTGGGCTAAGGAAAGGGTGATGAAATCCCTTACCTTATCTTGATTGGGGTTTTGCCCTTAAGAATGTTTTAAGTGTGTGCCAAATCAAGTGCTACAATCACTTTGGTGAATTCCTACACTATATGAAATGCAACCCTAGAAATTAAAAGCGACTAAAAAGGATGATAAAAAGAAAATCTTTTTTTTAATTATGGTCAATAATAATCAAATGTGAGAAGATGAATTTTATTATGGTCAACAAAAATAAAATCTTTTTTTTTAAATCCTAATTGTCTCTAATTGTGAAGCTAGCTAAAGAGGGTGGAATTGAAAACTAGAAAGAAGACTTACCCGAAAGCAATGCTCCAAATTCTTGATCTTCAATCCAAGATTTTCAAGCTCCAAGCGGTTCCTTCACAAGAAAAATACACAAGTTAAAGAATCAAGTTAATAAAATCCTATTTTAGCACCTTCCCCGGCAACGGCGCCAAAAACTTGATGCGGCATAATTATGTACCAAAATTGCAAGTGCACAATTTATCAAGTTATAGTATAAAAAGATATCGATCCCACGAAGAAGGTGATTTTAAGAGATTATTAAACTTGGTTCTTATATTTTGTGCGTGACAATTAGGAATAAAGAATAAGTGTGATTGTATGAGTGGTTGTTTTGATTTATATGCAAGAGGTAATAAATTGAATTTTAGAGGAGAGAAGGAAGAATTAAAGAATAAATGAAATCACAAGGCAAGAAATATGAATTAATAAAATCAAGAAATAAAACCAAAAATGAAAAGAAAATTTAAGAAAGTTAAGATGAAGGATTCAAAAGAGGTAAGAAATCTAGAATATAATCCACTAACCAATTTCAATTACAAAATATAAACTATTCTCTTTTTATCATATTTCAACTTAGATTTATTAAGCATAGATTATCAAACCATTTAAGGAAAGTGTAACCTATCAAATTATCATCTAAGTTAAAATTACTATTCATGATAAGAACAACAACATGATAATAATCCTAGAATTCATAAGCATAACCTATCAAACCATTTAAGATAAGCATAGATTATCAAATTCTTCTTCTACCGATTAGTTCTCTAGTTGATTATCCTAAACATGAACATTTTAAGTACAAGAGAATAATTCATACAATATAAAAGAAATTAGACTAGTTTCATACAATTCTAAGATTCCTACAAGAATTAAATTCACCTCTTAAGAAATAAAAACAAGAAAAAGAAGACTAATTACAAAATTAAAAAGAAAAGAAAAATCTAAACTATGAACAAGAAATAAATCTAATTACAAAGAAAATAAAAATCTAAACTACAAAATAAATTGCAGAAATTAAATGCAAGAAAATAAATCTATTCCAAATTAAAGTGCAAAAAGAAAATAAAACAGACAAGAAAGTAAATCTACACTACAAGCATGAATTTAAATCTAACTAATAAGCAATAATAAAGAAATTACTAAAAAGAAATAAAAGAGAAAAGAAATGCAAACCTTCAAATTGCTCTTCATCTCCATCCTCATCATTCAACAAAGAAGAGAAAGAACAAATTTAAAGAGAAGAAATTACTAAAAAGAAATAAAAGAGAAAAGAAATGCAAACCTTCAAATTGCTCTTCATCTCCATCCTCATCATTCAACAAGAGGAGAAAGAACAAATTTAAAGAGGAAAAAATTATTTTTATTAATTGCAACTAAAGTTACAATTTTTGGAAGGCCTTCTCAATTAAGAGTAGCCCTCCTCTCCAAAAGGAGTTTACAAAATTTTCACACCTCTAACCCCTCACTCTCTACCCCTATTTATAGTAAACATCAGTGAATGAGAGCCATTGGATCGAAATCTTATCCAAAAACATCAATTTTCAGCCATTAATTCGTAACAAACTGCTCAGTGTATCGATACCAGCATCGATAGGGGTATCGATGCGGGCATCGATACAGGCATCGATGCGGGCATCGATGCCCCCATCGATGCAGGCATCGATGCCTGCCCCTCTTCTCTTGCTGTCCGCAGAATCCATTGTTGTTTGCTTTTGGGCTTTGGACTTTGGGCTTTGCTTGACTTTTGAGCTTGGATATTTTTCTTCTTTTGGGCTTTTGGATAATTTGAAAATTAATTTTCCAATGGGTTTCTTTACTTCATTTCTTCATTTAATCCACGGGTTTTAGTTGAGAGATGGGAGTTTGAGATTTATTTTTCTTTAACCTGCAATTAAACATAAAAAACAGTTATTAGTGGTATATTTATTCATATAAAATAGATAATAAGGGTATAAAACTGTAATAAAATGTGATTATCACCTCCGTGCGAAGTATAAAGTGCGTCTTACAAAGCGTCACTTAGCGCCTCAGCCCAATTAACCCGATCCCCGGCTCATTGGTCCAAGGTCCACGATCCACGAGCCCACAGCCCACGACCCATGGCCTACGGCCCAAGGCTCACGACCTACGGTCCACGGCTCACGGCCTTTGGTCCACAGTCCACGGCTCACGGCCTACGGCCTATGGCCCACTAGAACTTATGAGGGATTAATTAAAACAAAACAATTCTCGGCTTACCGTTAGCAAGCCTCGAATAGAGGATCTTTTGAAACACCAAAACTTTTATTTTCCAATATATATATATATATATATAGTTTGAAAACGCATTTTGGAAAGCAGTTTTGACCAAAAAAAAATCCAACAATCTTCTCAATGAGACAAGTGCTTATGTACGAGTTAAGATGTCAAAAGTGTTACTGAAGGTAACACGTGCAAGTGTTGCTCAACTTAGTATTCATATGTGATTAAAACACTCCTGCTGTGAGTGATCCGCATGGTTGAGAAGTTCTAATATGTCTCCCATAGTCTTAGGTTTAATAATGGGCTGGGTTATTAAAAAAAAGTGATTAAAACATATTTGGATATATCATTTTGTGGGACTAGTTCAATAACTTAGTGACGATGCTAAAATTGAGAAAATAAAATATTCTCGTAGTCCACCGTTACAAATCTCGATTACAACTCCCTCTCCATATGACGCCAAGTACAAATTACAACTTGCATTGGCGAGTCCAATTGACTTATAGTTGTTCCCATCTTGCTACAACTCGACCTCACAACTTGTAAGAACCAAAGAAACTTGTTTTCCATGAGAAATAGATTGGATCTTAAAAAACTTCTTGATTTAGCCAATCTATGAATTCTTCAATGTTAGGATTACCCCAAAATAGAGGAAGATCATTAAATTTAACGCGGTAATCAGGATCGCATCTCCCATTGTTATGAACAGTCACATCCTCAAACTTTGCAAAATCCTTTAGACCTGAGTTGTCATTATCTTGACATAGACAATGAGCACGAACATTGATCACCTTGGGTCAGTCAGGGGTGACTCTCAGGGTCTCAGGGTACGTACCTTGTTGTTAACTACATTCCTTTTGCCTCTATTCGTAGTAGTAGCCAAGTTCCTTATAATCTTAAGAATTTTATTAAGACATTGATCTAAGGCTTCAACTTGTTGTTTGAGATGGTTGTCTTCTTGATTATCTTTGTTGTCATTGGTGGTCATACCAGGAAATAACATGGCTCTAGATACCAACTGATATAGTAGAAGTGTAATCGAAAAGATAACACTCATTCTCATATGAGCACAATAGCACAAATCCTAGAAAACCCTAGTAATTGAAAACCCTCTGAATAATAATAATCAACATCCCACTCTACATGAACTCATTCCCCTTATATAGACATAAAGAAACTTTTAATAAAAAACTAGAAAACTAAAAGATACTCAGAATTTTCACACGCAATTGAGCCTGAAAACGAATGTCTTTGAACCAGAAATTTATCTAGAACAAAAAATTAGTTTTATGTGTAGAGAACTTTTCGATCTTTCTGAAAACATATAATAATAAAGATTCTATGGAGCAAACCAAAAGATATGATCTATATGCTTGCATCTCAAAATCATCCTGAAAACAACCTTTCGTTACAATCATCCTGCCTTCGCATGACCTAATTTCTTCCAATCGATGATTGCCTCCGCATCAGCACCAAAAAAGACATCCACATGCATTAGAAAATAGTCATAACACCATGTTGGTTGCATAATGGGACTTCCGACTTTCGCAATGAGATACTTGAATAAACTCCAAATATATATATATATATATATATAACAAAAATTCAGAAATTTATTATTATTTTTCCAAGAAAACCAAGTTAAGATCGAAAGGTCATTTTGAACTTCTCTCCACATTCATTTTCTTGTTTTTATATGCTGATATATGCTTGGATTTTTTTGGAAGGCGAAAGTATAGCGAGATGTCATGTTCAATATATTAAAATGAATAAATAGTTACAAAAAACACACAAAAAAGATAAGAGCTAATGGTTTTTTTACTGTATTTATTTTTGTAAAAATAGATTCATTAGTGTAGACTTGACTGATTAAATCTAAAAACACAAAGTGCAACCAGATATCATAAACTTTGCTTGTACGACTATGACAAATTCTTGGTCCTCTCCTTAGAAAAAATTACCTACAATCCAATTTTAGAAAGTAAAAGTTCTTCGTTAGGAGCTTTAGGCTCCAAATCTCTTAAAATTTTAAAATAAATTATCAATAAAAAGAAAAAGAAAAGAGTGAAAGAATAAAAAAAAAGGAGGGAAAAAGAGAAAAACAAAGGTAATGGGCTAATTAAGGCCTGTGCCGTCCACTTACTCTTAAGGCCCACCATGATCATCATCCTTCTTTAATCTGAAGATTTCAAAAATCCGCATCTCTCTGTCAATCCGACTAATCGCTTGATGGTATAATGTTATCTTTTGCACCCACCCGCAATCCTCAATTTTGTTAAAAATTCTTATCGCACACGCTAACGTGCTATTTGTCTCACAATTCAAAATTTCAACATCCTTGTGGTACTATGTTTTCGTAGCTATGCATTCTTTTAGCTGAAAGTTGCGCAAATAAAAACTCATAACCTTTTGTCATTAGTAATAATGATTATTTCATTATACTATCAATTCTACTATTTTATCTTTTTAAAATTTAACTATCCAAATATTTTTGCCTCAAAAAAAAAAAAAATCCAAATATCTTTATAGAAATAGGTGTATACGAATTTTGATCTTCAATTAAGTCCAAAGAGAGGGGGGGGCACTAAAATCTGATTCAGTCTGCAAGAATTTTGCAGCATTCAATTCTTTTATAGTAAAAAAAAATAATATGAGAGCTGGACTCATGTTGATTGTATCAACAATTCATCAAAATCTAACATTTAATAAATGAAAATTCCATATTAAAAATATGTTTCAAAGGATATGCTTTAATCCCACACAACTACCTAGAAAGAAAATTTTTAATGATTCCAATGTGTTTT